GTGTGAAGACTGTTAAGCTTTAGTTGAATGGACACAATTCTATAAATAGCATTGCACTCTTTGAAGCCAAATGCAAATTCACAAAACACACATTATTGTTTACAAATCATAAACAAAAATCAAGAAGATTATATCATCAATTTTAGATATAAAATGGCGATCGAGCGTGTTCTTATCTTGGCACTTATCGGCACTTGCCTAATTTCCATGGCGAGTGCCATTCCTGGTCAAGCAACGTTTTACACCCCTCCTTATGTTCGTAAGTCCTTTTATCCTCACAATTGTAATTTTCGAAATTTCCAAAATCAGTCTTGTAACTATAGATTGAATCGAGCTGTAATGAATAGAAAGGTTTGCGAACACAGTTATGTTCGGCTCGTGAAAGCTCGAGCATGCTTGTTCGTTTACTTAAACGAGTCAAAAATTGAACATCTCATCTAACTTGTCAATTAAACAAGACGATGATGAGCTTGTTCGCGAACTTCCCTTTGTATTTATTATAGATAGTAAATAAAATAGTCAGGTCAATAAACTTTTTTTGCGAAGATGAATCGTTTACGGCTTTAAGTTTAATTATTAACCGAGCTGACCTGAGCTTGAACGAGTCGAGCTGGATCATTTATTAACCGAGTACAAGCTTGAACAAAAACTACTCGACTCAGCTCAACTCAATTCGGACAACACCCCTAATTAGAGTACAACCAATCAATAGTGGTCCATTATCTTTTAAAATTGTATACTTTTAAAATTTTGTATTAGGCTATTATTCATGCACATATGTAAGTACGCATATATGTATATGCCTTTTGCAGCTTCTGCATGCTATGGATTCACAGAGCAAGGCACGTTGATAGCAGCGGCTAATCCTACGATTTACGCCAACGGTGCAGCGTGTGGGAGGCGGTATAGGATCAGGTGCACCGGGCGCACCAACTTAGGGGTGCTCCAGCCGTGCACTAATCGGGAAATCATTGTTAGGGTCGTTGACCTCTGCCCGGGATGTGCGGCTGACCAGTTTGACCTTTCCCGCGAAGCGTTTGCAATGATCGCCAATCCTGATGCTGGCAGAATCTTTATCGATTATGCCCAGTGAGTAATTTTTCTTGTTTAATTTTCATAAACTTAATTTTCATGTTTTTTAGAAACTTTTGGGAAAAAATTATATTCTTTGAGATTTCGAACGATATTTTGAGACTATTTGAGATTCGAGACTTTTTAAAATTATGAAATCTGTTTGGAGGTGTGGTTTGAAGTGAGTTCTATATATGGTTTTTTTTTTTTGGAAATCTCAACAAACTATAAAAAAATTAAAACAAATATCAATCTAAAATAAATGATATATATCTCTAAATATAGTAAGAATTTTTTAAATCTCAAAATAAGATTTGAAAAATATTTTAACAAATCTATAATTACTAAAATTTTAAAAGTCCTTATAAATCTCAAACGAATACACCTCGAATTTAAATTTTGAATTTAAATTTTGTCACACGTAGTGAGAATTGAACAAAATGTGCAATTTTTATGGTTGAATTAATCATGTCTAATTAAATAAGAAAAAAAAAATGAAGAAGAACATGTTTCTCTTTGTGTGTTAATGAAATATTTGGTGTAATTATGCAGAGTTTGATTACTGGGGCCGACTGAAATTCCAAGAATAACCTTGATGCAGCATATATTAACACTATTCCATATATCCCTTTTGGGGGATATTATAGGTATTTTGGTGAATAAAAGAGGATTGCTGTGTAATAAATGTGTGAAGTGTGGAATTGTCTTTGTATCATCTACTTTGTCAAGAATTGAAATAATAAATAAATAGATATTGTTTACTTGTGTTTCATTTAAAATTAAATGTGTTCGACTACATTAAAATATAAAATTATTTGAAATATTATATCACTATTAAAAATTATATAATTAAATGGAAATGGATACTTATATATAGATAATGAAATAATTGGATAACCTATCATATCAAATAATTACTACATTTTTTTAAGAAAACAAAAAAAATCTGTCAAATTACTGAAAATAGTATATTATATTGCTATTAGAATATATTTATTTATATAATTAAATGAAAATGGATACTTATATAAAATAGTATGTCACTATTAAATAAATTTACATAATAAAATGAAAATGGATATATACGTGGCTAGAAAATGTTTGAAACGTTTTAATATCTAAATATATCTATTTAATTGACTAAGTTCAGTATCCGACTTTTGGAATTGGACAATTATATTAAACTTTCCAAAAGTCGTCAAAATTAGTTCATGACCTTAAAGCACCATTAAAACTAATAGAAATAAGTGATCAAACAATTGAATCAAAGTACTCAATTAATTACTTGACTAACATTTGGCTGCCAACAAATTGTATCTGGATTTTTTTTAGTATTTCTCGTCTAATTTTATAAAAGTCAAAATTCTCTCTGTAAAATATAAATTCGGCATGAAAATTTTGTAAAAGTCAAAATTCTCTCATTTTTTATTGAAAAAAGTCTGTTTACCATAAAATTGGGAATATTGAATTAGGCAAAATATTATAACATGTATCTTTACCTAATTGCAACAGATCATGTTTATTAAAAAAACCGAATTGCATAGAAATCGGACTCAATATCAAATGTGAATATTAAAATTGAAAAATCTCTTATTATTTGTTTACAACTTTCTTTAGTGCGGATTTTTTTTTAAAACATAAAACAAAGTTAGATAATACTAATTTGAAATTCAAAATGAAATCAAACTGGAACACCCTAAAAATTTTGGTTTTGTTTAATCTTCTAACAAATTTGAAATTGATTGCATACACGTATATAATTTTTCCTTTGTTAAAATTAAATAATTTACAATTTTAAAATAATAAGGCTATAAATTATCAAGAAAAGCGTTTTACGATCTTCGTTACATTTGACTCTGCAACTTTCATAAAACCAATATAAATCATATCTCCTGCGAAATAGTTTAATTGATTTATTTACGCCTATCTATAATCCTAATATAACTTGTGGCGACAGACGATGTACCAAAAGACCAAACAAATAATGTTGTGTACAAAAATGTGTTTACTAATATATAAGTTACATTTAATTTTATTCCAATATATGTGTTTTGCGTTCTTCTTATCATCCAAATCTAAATGTTACCTTAATCAAACTAGCTCGTGCATCGCATGGGTACCGCACTAGTTTATTTATATAATTAAATGAAAATGGATACTTGCATCAAATAGTATGTCACTACTAAAAATTTTATATAATGAAATGAAAATGGATACTTACTTATACAATAAGGCTAAAGAGCCAACAACCAATGAGACAACTCTAGGTGGGACTGGCCCACAATACTTTAATGTGAGACAGCCCCACATGGAGTTATCCAATTGGTTGTTGGCTCCATAACGGAGTCAACTGTTGGCTCCTTAGCGTTACTGCTTACTTATAATAGTCAGATAATTAAGGGGTAAATTGTGCCAAACCCCCCTATATTATACGAAATCTGTGCGTTATCCCTCTGTATTTTAAAATTTGCGTCATACCCCCTTGTATTAATCTAACTGATGCACACGCTCCCTTGTTTCAATTTTCCTGTTAACGGCGTTAATTTTTTGGCCAAATTCCCGTTATACCCTCCGTATATTATATATATATTATACATATATATATGATAAATTGAATTTATCACGATATATTGAATATATCGCGAGAAATTAACTAAAAAATTTGTAGAGCATGAGTTTCGAACCATGGACCTCATGCAAGATTAGGAACACTGCCACCACCCCACCAAACTAGACTTATGGTGAGATTTAAGAACATTTGATATATATAGGCGCTACATGTATATAAATCAAATTAAATTTTAAAGATAATGTATATTATATTAAATAAAAATTAATAAACTATAAACTTATAATAAATAAAATATAATAAAATAGATTATGAAAATTAAAAAAAATAAGATAATTAAAATAACTTATATATATTATACTTACAATTACAATAATAATATTTATGGTCTTTAATTAAGTTATTTTCGTCTACTTTTATTTATTATTATTTTAAATTAAATTTTACTATTTCATATTATTTTATCTTATTTAAAAATTATATTTATTTTTTTGACTTAAGAAATTATATAAAATTCAAATAAATCTTACTAAATAAACTTTAGAAACTAAAATTATTTATTTCTAATTAAAACTATTTACTAAAATGTGACAATTTATTTATAATTTTTTGTTAATATTATGTGTAAGAATAAATCATGAAGAAAATTATTTTATAAATAATATTTTTGATTTTATTATATTAAGTTAATATTATCTTTTTTATATTATAATAAGTTAATATTATATTTTTTATTTTTTATAATATTTATATTTTAATCTACCATTTTTTATATATTATATTTTTTATCTTATATTAAGTTTTTTATGATATTTTAACTAGTCTACTCTAATTTTATTTATTTTTTTCATTTAATATTTTTATTATTATTATGCATTTCAGAATTTATATAATTAATTTTATTTTTATAAATAAAAAAATAAATTTTTTTAAGTTTAATTTATGATATTATAACTAATATTATTTTACTTTAATTTAATTTAAGTTGCAATTGGTGAGTGATGGGCTTCATCCCCAGGCCATTGTCGAAATAGTTTTTATTATAATTTAATTTATTTGAAGTTATTATTATTATTATTAATTATTAATATTTCTATTTAATATATATTAAATTTCCATTATATTATTTTTAATTTATTTACTCTAAATAAATTAATTTTTTAATTTATTATTATTATTATACATTTAAAAATTAATATAATTAATTTTATTTTTATAAATCAAATTATAAATTTATTTAATTATAATTTATGCTACTACAATTAATATTATTTTTATTTACTTTAATGTACTTTTTCGTCATTTTTATTATAATTTAATTTATTTCAAGTTATTATTCTTATTATTTTTATTATTATTACTATTTAATATATATAAAATTTACCCATTATATTATTTTTAATTTATTTAATTTAAAATTTAATTTTAATGTTACTGTTCATTTCAAAATTTATATAATTCATTTTATTTTAATAAATAAAAACTATAATTTATTTAATTTTAATTCATGCTACTATATTATGTTTTATCTTACTTTATTTTTTCACTATTTTTATTTTAGTTTAACGTATTGCAAGCTATTATTATTATTATTATTATTATTATTATTATTATTATTATTATTATTATTATTATTATTATTATTATTATTTAATGTATATCAAATTAACTTGTTATGTTTTTATTTTATTTTAGTTTATTAATTTGTTTGAAGTATTATAAAAGCATTTGTGTTCAATTCCTACACAAGGATGTATCTAGCTTAGTGGTTTAATGTGTGGGTTTTTGTCATAAAGGTCATGGGTTCAAATCCCGTTTAAATTTTAATTTTCTCAATAAAATTCAGGTATTAAGGGGTAAAATAGTCATTTCACTGAGTTTATGGCGAAAAAATAGAGAAAAAGCTGCACCACACGCTTGTGAAATGCACATCCGTCAAGTTAGACGGTTTAGGGGATAACGCGTAATCAAAAGTATAATACAAGGGGGTATGACGCAATTTTTAAAATACAGGGGAATAACGCGCAGATTTCATATAATACAGGGGATTTGGGGCAATTTACCCGATAATTAAGCATTCTATCAAATAATTACGTGACCTTTCAAAAAAATGTTTCTCCCAAATACTTGACTAACATTAGGCTGCCAACAAATTGAATCTGACATCTTTTTAGTACTATTATTTTTATTTAAAAAATACTTGGTCCCATCGGATCCAGAATCGGCGGGTACTTGAATTGGAACCTCCTCAGTTTATAGCCCATTGGGCCCACAACCAAGCGGCCCGACCCGTCGGCTATGTCTACTTGATCCACTCTATAAATCATGCTATTTGAGGACTCATAGCATTATAGCAATATTGTTTTATATGATTTTCAAAATTATTTAATATGTTAAATTTGAAATAGATATATCATTTATTTAAAAATAATGGCCTATTTAGTGGAGCAATATAAAATTAAACATAGTATTTTGGCAACTTATATAATGAAATTTTGTTTATTACGTGGATATAAAATTTGTAACATCCATCAGATTTTCGCATAGAAATTGTATAAATCGAATAAACAAAATATATTGTATCATGTATTTTTTGGCCTATACTCTCAACTATAAAAAGGTGCAATTTTCTAATGTTGCACATTGCAAAAAACAATTCGAACAAGTTTGCATATATAGTCCCTCTATTCCCTCTTTCCTTCCATCTTTTTTCAACTCTGGTTAATTAATTCAAAGTATAAAATTTAATAAATGGCCCTTCAATTAATGATTAATTTCTTAACAATATTTATTGTCATTGCTGCAAATTTATTGTCAATTGCTCTGGCTATCCCAGGAACAGCCACTTTCTACACAAGCTATGTTCGTAAGTAGTTGTGAGAACCGTTATTTTTTTTATTGTATGTAGCGCTATGAATACGGAAACTGCGAGAACCGTTATTTTTTTTTATTGTAAGTAGTGCTATGATTGTTGATTGTGTTAATTCAGTACTATTTTTAACCAAGATGTATTTTATTGAAAAATAGCAGCACAATTTACATGTATGGTAAAAATTTAGTTAAAATTGTAACAACTATGTATAATTTGTAGCATCGGCTTGTTACGGGAATAAGGGTTTCGGGGTTAACATAGCCGCGGCTAGCGATCCTCTGTGGGCCGGAGGAGCCATTTGCGGTAAAATGTACAACGTCACGTGCGTGGGGCCCACTAACCCGGTCCCGCACCCATGCACCGGGAAGAGCGCGGTTGTGAAGATAGTCGATCATTGCCCGGGATGCGGAGGAACCCTAGATCTCTCTAAGGAAGTGTTTGCCACAATTGCTAATCCTATAGCAGGAATTATCAAGATTGATTATCAACCGTAAGCCAAAACCCTTTGTCTAGCACATGATCTTAAGGTTGAACTTTAGGTTTTAACTTTTAAATTGTTCTTTTTAATTGAGTTGATTGTTTTGTGTTTTTTTGCAGGATTTAAGGATTTCGAAGGGAAATTGATGATCAATTATTGATAGATTAAAAGTATTAAGAAATTTATATATTTTTTTGAAAGCTGGTAGAATGTACTATCTATCAATCATATAATACCATAGCAATGAAATTAATAATAAAAGAAAATTATCCCGAGTTTTCGTGCTACTCACTCTGTCTCACAATCTGCTTTAATTTATGAGGATTAATTCACTGGATGGATTACTATTGTTGTGATAGTTGTAGGTCTGAATTTTGCAAGCCTACGGATGTGCAAAGTTCGACTAAAATTGAAAAAATCGACCGAAATCAATAGAAATAGGATTTTCATCAATTCGGCTTTTCAAATGTTGTTTCGGTTATCGGTGTTTACTTTTTACTTTTGAAAGTTCGGATATTTTGGTTCGGTTTGATTTTATTTTTAAAATAACTGAAATAACCAAACCAACCGAAATATATAAAAAATATTATTTTTTATATATTTTTATATGTGTATTTTTTATTTTAATCAAAATAATATAAATTTTTAAATAAATTTTATTATAATATAAATTATAAATTAGGTAGGTTATTTTGGTTAACCGACCGAATAAACTGATTATTTTAATTTTTTAGTTCGGTTTGAGACAAAATTTCGATCGGCTTGGTTTTCCCGAAAGTTTGATTCTGTTAGTTCGAATTTGAAAGACAACATAAATAAAAGCAAGACATTTTGTGCAAGCAATTTTTTTAAATAAATATACATAGATCAATCTTTTATTAAAATAATTATATACAGATTATATTTTAGGTTTTGCATTTCATATTATTATCTTCACAATTTTATTAAAATAATATACAAATCGACCCGCCTAATGTTAGACAGTTTCAGCTAAGAGCACCCGCATCGGTGCTATTAATTTGATGTTTAAACGGCACCCCCCGCGTCTCGTTCAACAGATTGAACGTTCATTCAGCATTTTCTTTTTTTTTTTTTTTTTTTTTTGTTTAAAAATCTTATTTTATTAGGGCCTCCACATGTAGTAATTTTATTCTTTTTTTGAAGACTATTATTTAGTTACTTATTTTCCTTTTTTGTTTTTGATATTTTATTTATTTATTTTTTATCTATATCACACTTCTCAATATATATCAATAATATACATTTCTTATTCCCATTTAGTTGAACATATTTGTACTCATTTTGTCAAGTAAAAAAATATTTTTTTGTTATTGTACTATTTTTTCTTGTGCAACACTAATTTATGTTATTTTGGTCTTGTAGTGTTTACACACTAATTTATGTTATTTTAATCTTGCAGTGTTTTGTTTTTATTTTCATGCATTTAAAATTTATTGTTATAATTTAAAAGTTTTAAAATTTATTTTTATTGTGGATAGAATATAGAAAATTATATTGAATGAGTGGATAATGGATCCCACATATGCATTTAAATGAATGAGTATAAATGTGGGTGTGTGATTAAATGGAGAGAAATTTGGTGAAAACATGATTTGGATGAGAGAGAGTTTAACTTTTTGATTGAATGAATGAAAAATGATACCAATGTGCAATCTAATAGCTCCATAGAAAAACTAATAAATGCAACCCAAGAACAAGTGCATCTCAGCATGCCATATTCTGGAAGTCTGAAAGGGTCTAGACAAATTATAACCATTCTTCAAGAAATGTAAGTGCTAGTTCAAATAAAACAAAACAAAATCCAGCAAAATCCAAAAATGCAACAACATTTTGATTTCCCGAGAGACATCGTCAAGTTCTCATCCCTGCACGGGCCCAGAAATGAATGCTCTTCCAGGCTGCCGATTGGCCAAAGGTCCATGACATCCAAGAAGCTGCACAATTCAAGAAAATATAAAAAATGTTAAAGAGCTTAGACAACAATACGGGCGCGAGAATTCATGTCAAAGAGCTGTAGGATCCATGTTTGAAGAAAATGAAATAGAGTAACTCAGTAACATCAAGTGAAAAGAAAGAATTCTGTAATAAAGACAAACCTTAGCATTCACACCGTCAGAAACAATCCTATTCTCAGATTTCCATTTCAGGTAATCTGTGCGGTTGTATTTAGTGAAACCCCTGAAAATAATAAAGATCACACATCATCAGCAACACGAATCAATACAGCAATACAATTCTCATAGGTTTTATTCGTTCACGACGCAAAAAAAAAGTTAATCGAATAATGCATAACAAGTGACGTACAGAAAAACAAATCATGAAAGAAACAATTCAAAGGTGGAATTACAAAAGTGCTTAACATGATTATTACTGAAAAACCCGAGAACCATCAGAAAAAGGTGGATATTCCATACATAAGAGTCTTATAGCAAAGCTATCCACATGAGAGTAAACCGAGTCGCAACAAAGTTAATCGAATTATGCATAACAAGTGATGTAACTAAAAAAAAAA